CCTATTGACTGCATTGACGTACTGATGTTTTTGTCTACCCCATGGCACAGATAACTCCGGATCGACAAATATTTCCAATCCACTGTTGCATTTGACTACATGGCATATCAGAGCGTCCGATGCACTGGCTCCGGCCGATTCTATTTGGGTTGTGCTGTGGATTACGGTCGCAGTGCACGGCTTGCTAGATTTGGATCGTCTTTGGTCTCGGCGTCTTCCTTACGCGTTTACGGTCACACTGGCTGTAGTTCATCTGATTCTGACCAATGTGTTTCATATGCTCACCCAATCGAGTCCCGTATTGCCTTCCAGTCGCGCGTCATCGGATGCTTATTCCGGTGCGTGTTCTTCAAAGGATTATCCTTTGTCGATTTTCATGATGGACCGTGCTAGCTGGTGGGATAACCCGGCCAGTCTCATGGGAAGACAGGTGCGTTTTGTGCTCTTGTTCACTATCCCCCTCCAAATAGTTTCAGTAACTGAACTGATAGTACAAATATACGAGCGATAAACGTTCAAAGTCACTCCCATCAACAAACACGACTTCAGAATCCTGATTGAATATATTTTTTTTAATTTCAACACGTAAACAGTTACAGAGAACTGGTAAATATGCCACAACATATGAACAAAATATCTGTAGAATGTGTTCATAGGTTGTGTGGACATGTTAATTCCCGGTTGCCCTGGCCGTAGAAGAAGGATAACTTTGGAGTCCGAACCGGAAGCCTTTGGCTAGAAAGCCAACCTGCAAGGCAACAGGATGGAGCTCAGAGTCCGCAGTCCATTGGGGGTCGGTGAGCCGGTGACCACTGCCACAATCAGGAAGGTGTGCGGGTGGTTCGTCCACCTCTTCTCGGTTGGTTTGGAATCAGGGTTTTTAGCCAACTCCCTTAGGTGAACTGCCAATGGTTAACCAACCCAGTTATAGCCCCGGATGTTGGCTTTCCGTCCCCTCACTTTGGTGGGAAATACCTCCGCATCGGGAAGATGGTAGTGAGTAGGGTTTCCTCAGCATAGGCTATTTAATACGATTGGTCATATAGGAGCGTTCCGTGAGGTGTAAGAGAATAGTGACCAGACACCCACCCCGACCATACTGACGCTTTCGGAGGCGAATGTATTCATCAACTAGCCAGATAAGCTATTGGAATTAATTAGGTAACCATAGTCTATTTAAGGTTGTCGGCTTAAAACCTGAAACCTATTGTCCTCTTCACTCTCCAGTTGCCTCAAATGTACCATCAGCGTCAGCGTATACCAGGACGCTTCGGTCATATTCCCGCGTCGAATCTACTCCTCGCTGTTCAATGTGTTGCGTCAAAGACTTCGATTGGCGTTCCGAAGCGAATAAAAGGATGTTTTCCGGCTTCTACCTTCTCAGGGGCTACTCTCTTATCACTTTGATTTTTGGGGATTTTAGTGCGCCATAGAGTCTCGGGTGGCTATTGTGTAGTAGTTGATGTGGCATCTGAGAAGTACGAATCACCGTGGAATGTACGCGCTGTTCGAATACATTTCAAATATTCCTTGTTTTATGTCTATGAGATACAGCTTGCATCTGACAGTCTCGCTCCGTGAGTAGCAGTTGATTCTTATTTTAGCCCTCTTGTACTCGGCTGCAGTGTATCACAGGCACATGCGTTCCGTGTTCAAAATAAGACTCATACCTATAATGTCGCTAAAAGGCATCCTAAAGTTTATTCACTTCCCAGTCAGCCTATCTGTATGATAATCGACAAAAACATGTCCGTTCGCTCACTTAATGATTTTCGTACCGAGTAGTGATTCGGTTACCCAAAATTCGATCACTTTTCTATTGCGTCTTCAATATTTCATGTGCAACACGTTCCAATCATTGACCGGCGGATCTTCACCTGTATCATTTTCACAATTAGTCTACATCACAACTTCCTTTTGTTTTGTGATTTCCACACTCGGTACTGTTTGCGTACATCTATCAAATTCGCTGTATCAACTGAAATAACGCTCACGATCATGGAACGCAGTTTCTCGGCTACTAATTTAAATTTGAGATCATGGCTGTGATCATATTATCTTACGTGTCGTTCTTCTCATTCTCTTGGTAAGTAGTATTGCCTGAACCGATGGTTCCCGATTTTTTAAACAGTCGTAATTCGTTGTATCGTATTTCGTCAATCAATAAAATTTGATTTTCTATTAACTATCGGAGCAACCTTTTCCATTCACTTTACGCTCTTTGACCCCATGCAGTCCTGTTGAACCAGAGTGATTCATGTATCGGAATGTTTGGTCTTATTGTCATTGTCTAACTCCACTATTGTATCATTTTATAAAATCAAAACGTTCGAGCTGAAATTTATTTCATTTGAGCAAACCGGGAGAATAACTCCTTTAATGACGGAATGATTGGTGTTCTGCACAGAATCCCCTGCTTGGCAATTCGTTCTAATGTGGATTGCTCTAACGTTTCTGTGATTTCTAGTTGTATTCACCAAATTTAGAGCACTCGTCTTACCCTCCATAGGGCGTAATATGCTTTGCGAATCCAAGTCTCGGGGCATAGGTTGCAGCTTTTCGTTTGCTGAACAGTAACCCTGTGGACCACCTTTTCTGCACACTGTGGTGCCTGATGGAAAAGATGAAAAACATACAAGGNAGGAAGAGTAAACATTGACTGTCCATTGGGATGAGCAGGGCATGTCCCAGACGAATTGTCGATCAAAGAAGTAAAGATCAGGGAGACTGAACCAAAGCCCTGTTTTTTTAGCAAGACTCCCAAAGCGATGAGCGCGTAATTTTTTCAAGCTTGCAATTGTAACTTCAATAAATTTGGAGTTTCATCATAAACACAGGAAAAAAAATCGGACCAAAGAGATCACTGTATAACTGCTTTCACCTTGTTGCATCTTATCAGCGAATCCATTCACTCGACTGAGGATCGAACCCGGAACCACACGTTAGAAAACCCGATCGGTGGGGCGATAAGTCGGCTACTTTAAACGCTTGATCGCCGCCATTTATCATAGGTTGTGCGTGAGCGGAATGTGCTTATCAGCCGCAACCGCTTCATTCAAAACCACGCTTTCTCACCGGAGATCAATCGATTTGGTAACACCGGATCTTTTTATGAACTTGATGAAGACGAGAGAGAAAATCAAGAAAGACTCAATTGCATCGAACACATTTTTTCTTTGGATTCACTTTTGTTGGCAATTCGATTCACAAAAACAACTCAAACTTCAAGCTCAATGTGCATGACGTGGTATCCCGTTGTGAAAAGCACTCCAAAGGTGACTTTCCATGATCGCTTGCTTGTCAACTTATGGTTTCACGGACAACCGGTTTAAAAAATGGTTATTGTAATGAACAACTGCCTTTAGTCACTGTAACTGGTGTCCGTCCATCCTCGAGGGTCGAACCTAACTACCACCAGCTTGGTTGTCCCCCGGCATAGTAGAACAGGTACTCCAAGTTTTCGGCTGCAACGAAATGGTAGATCCTCGGAGTTGCATTATGGACAAAAACACCGAACCAATTGTAATTCTCTCCCTAATCATGTTTCGTCTTTCTTGTAGAATTTGGCTTCTCTGTTGGCCTTGGTCGCCGCGCATCTAGTTGGCCAGTTACTCGCCCGCTGGACTGTTCGGCATCGTTACGGACTGTTCATTTTGGCTAGCCACTGTCAGGCCAAACTGGATCGTCTCACCACTACCGAGGATAAACTGGTAAGTGTGCGAAACTAGTCAATATGTTGCCTCTTGAGGTTCCGATTTAATGCGCAGATCTGGAATCCTTTGGTTGTCTAATAAAAGCTGATTGTGTACTGATAGCAATTTGAAATCAATCTTCCATTTCGAACGAAAGGGTGCACGTTGTCTTCAAACTGCACCCATCTGTCAAATTTGCTTTGGGAATTACTTGAAAGAGAGAGATATGTATCTTGACATATCTTGACAGAGTGAGCACACAATTGACGTGTGGTTCTCTAGTTGCGTTCTATTCTCTCTTCTCCGTATCGCCATTGCCTATTTTAACGATTGGCCCTTATACTTTTCGATCAAATTAACCTTCTTTTCGGTGGGGTGAATTATCATATCTCCTGGCTCGTTCTCCTGCGATCCAACCACAAGAGACCGCGGTCAGTGCTGGTGCATCAGCATGTCTGTTCCACGGTTGTCATCTGTTCATCCGTCTGTGATCCCTACTTGAAAAGTAAAATTCACTGGTGACCTGAATACTCTAATAGGGTGCACTTTCTCTTCCAGTACACGTGTGCTCTCACTGCCACAAACAGCTTTGAAACATCTTCAATGGATAGCTATTTCTCTTTCCCAGAATTCACGATTGCACTGTGCGTTCGGTCTGGAGTAGAAACATACGTGATTTGGAAAGCTGTTCGTCGTGTGATGATTATAGTAATCTTTTATTCTCATATATATATATATATTTACCGTCACGCAGTCAGTTTTCCCGAAGGGGACTAAGGACAATCCACGGGCTGCCAATGAATATAAAGGAAAAGTGAAAGTTAGGCCGCATCAGCGGCGATACCTGATTCTGTTTGTGTATGGTAATGTCCTCGGTGTGTCGTATGATGCATGTGCGAGTGGTTTGCGTTTTACTCTCGATTAATATCAAATGATAGATTGATTACTGTCTGCTTAGTAATTCAATTGAGTCGTACGTACAATCAATCACCGGGTGCCCCCAAAAAAACCGGTTTGATATGTCATTTGGGATGATAGACGATCATAATTATCTCATTTGAAACTACTTCTGCGATCAATTGACCCACGTGCTTTCCCATCCCACTGGGGGGGGGGGGGGGTTTTTTCCCCCC